AAAAAACACAATATTAAAGTAAAGTATTTTATTCTTGATGTCTAATCAGTAAAATCTTAAAATTAATAAATGGACGGTTGATTTGAATTTGACAATTATCAATAGCTGACAATAAATAATACATAGCTTATTATGATTGAGATTCTGTCAATGATTACAATATTATGACAAAYAATTAAAAATATTGTACATAATACTCTAATGCATTTTTATAAAGTGATTGAACAGAAAACAGTCTATAACCACGTATTTGTGTAAATTCCAGATAATATAACAATTATAAATTACTATGGTACATTGTTAAATTAATTTTAACTTATGGAGAGATAGTTTAGGTTAAGAATCTCATCATTAATGTCTTATTATCAATAAAATCTTAAAACTAAAATTAATAATAAATGGACGGATATTTTTAATTTTACAATTATCAAGTGCAGGCAACAAAAAATACACAGCATTACATGATTTGAGATTCTAAAAATGATCACAATATGATGAGTAATCTAAACAATAAATGATGCCCTTATTATTSTTATGCACTATTTATAAACTGATTGAACACAAGTCTATAACCATGCGTGAGTACAAATTACAGATAATAACATAGTTATAATTCCAAATGGTAATGATATAGTACCAGATGCGCGACAGTCAACAAGACGTCGTGCTCGCATGAAATTTGGTCCTAACCACTCGGAGTAATGTCTTAATGAACTATCAATGGGTGCAAGCTGCTGAGTAGCATCCTGGAAGATCAAATCACTGTATGGTTCTGGTGACGTGAACATGCTGAAACTGGAATTAAAACAAATTTATAATTTTACAGCAGGTCAAAGATAAAGATTAGCGCAACAACTCACGTAAACTCGTCAATAGTTTTTCTGCCATATAACTGCTGGGCAGCCATAAACAGATTAGTGAATGCCATTACTTCGGTATGATTATAAGCTACTCCTCCACGAGTTATAACAGCGTTAGCTTTAACTTTACCCAAGCTACACTTCTTGTAATCATCAATCGGTGACCTTGTACCTAGGTAAAATAAAAAATGTTATATTGTACATTATTTTTTARTTTATAGCACAGTTATATTATTTAATTTTATATTGGTAACATCTGCTGCTAATATGAAATTATTTATAAAACAATTACTATATAAAAATAATAATTCAAAAAATAGAAGCATCAGCACGATTTTTGTTATTCCCAAATTGATTTTGAAAAATATATTATCTATAATATAAATATTACATAATATTCTAAAAAAATTTAGTCCCCCACCATTTCAGATTTCCAGATTTGGGTCAGTGATTACTCCTCATCATTTTAGGTTAAAAGCCATTGACTATTTGGTCGTTCTTAAATTTCTGATATAGATATTTAATAAAATTGACACTGAGAAGTAAGTGCAAACAATTATATTCTATTGAGACATTTTGTCAAACTAAAATGTTAATTACATACAAGGTCAAATTAGATAGAGAAATGGATAGTCTTTTATGTTTATGTTTAAATAATTGAGGTTTATTAAAATTGTATTCATATTAAATATCTACGTTAAATTGTTYTGAACATATTTATTTAAATCTCTAAGCAGAAAATGTGAGTATTCAATATATATTGAACTTTTAATGACGGTTTTATAGTAGTTCAAGATCGTAATAACAYATTTATAATTCACGTTTCATTTTAATTTTTGGAATAATTAATATTGTAACAGTTATCGAGATTTATGTGACTATGACAAAACTTAAATATCTTTGATCATACATAAAGTACACTTAATACAAATTTTAATTAGTATTAAAGCCAAAAATGAATAGAAAAGATAACAACTTGATTTTTATACTAAATATATTTAAAAGTATAGGTCAGGGGTGGCCAACATGAATACATCCACAAGCCTCATAGATAAATACATTGATATCAAGAGCCAAAATGTATTTAAAATACATGTTACTGTTTTTTATCGCTAATAAATAAATATTGGTATTTACTATTTTAATAAGACSAGAGCCACAATTTGGCCACTTCTGGTATAAGTAATTGCATAAAAATACATTCTGAAATACCAATATTATAGTATTGAATTAATGTATTTTAACAAAATGCATAATGTGTAATTATTTAGGATAACTAAAGTAGGTATTAAAATAAAGAAATAAGTAACTATAAATTCGAACAATTACCTAATATTATAAGTTTCTTTTCCATCAGATACTGATTATATTATTATATTATTAATCAAGGTTTGAACCTTAAAGGCATTTTGTGTACAAAACTAATAAATACATACTTAAAATGTATGTTTGAAAGATCAAAAAAAATTCATGATGTAAGACAGGGGTTGGCAATAGCTGGCACAAAAAAATAAACTAACTGTCCAAAAATATTTTATTTTATTGTTGATTTTTTATTATTATTATTTATCTGTGTCCTGAATAATTTGTAAAACAAAACTATAAAAAAAAGRCTTTTAGACATCAATTTTTTTTTAACTGCCGATGACCCTGTTGTAAGTTGACATATTTAATTATAATGTAAGACACATTTATAAATAATTATAAATTTATATAGAATAAAATAAAGAAATTCAAAAAAATTAGTAGTGAAAAAACAGAAAAATAATAAACACACCTGTTAAAATAGTCCAAAGAAATATAAATCCACGAGAGTACCATATAATATTGTACTATGAGTAATATAATATTTTACAGTTAAATGTTTTGTTGGTTATATATTCTATCTTAAAAGAGGGAAATCACTTTTTACACAATGTGAATGATGCAATCATCTCATCGACATATGATCTTACTAACACTCGGATCGTTACACTAACRTCGCAGTAAACGTCCAATACAAGTTCCTTACAAGCAATGATCAAATATAATTGAAATCAGAAATTTTTTTAAATTTAAAAAAAATATAAATTTTACGCATAGCAAAATCCTGCAATCTTATAGACTACTAAGACTAGATTTTCTATCTCTATTTTAGTATATGGAAACTTACCATCAGGACACAGAAGTTCAAAATCGTAAGTTAAAGTATTTCTTGCCCACCACTCTTTGCGTTTTCCATCAACATTCTCATAGACTGTGGTATGTTTAACAAAAGCTACATTTCCACCACCTTCAACCAAACACCTTAAGGCTCCTGTTTGGGGAAAAATATAATTTATATTTAATAAATAATAATCATTTTTATTAATTAAGTTACTTTACCTGTGTAGCCATAAAAGTCTTCAGTGGCATCGCGTTTGCAGTACCGATAACTAGAACCTCTACATAGATGGCAAAGGTTATCATAAGGTAAGCCTGGATTATATTCATTACTTAATGCACCGGGTACACAAGATTTACTAAAGTATTCAGAGGCAGCTTGTATTGAGTCACATCCATAACTTCGTATCCACCCGTTACTCAATAAAAATGCCATTGGTATTATCCATCCRCCACCAGAATATAAACCCGGGTGACATGTCATTTTTCCTAAAATCGTTAACACCATATAAAAATATAAGATTTTTGAGATTTTTTTAGTAAGTTTTTTATAATTAACCTTTTAAAAATGTTATTTCAGTACTAGGATCCTCTTCTTTCGCCACAGCCACAACATAATACTCTGGTTCAGGTAGATCATACATTTCAGTGATAAATGGTATTTCATCATAATGCAGTCCAGCGGTATAAATATCACCAGCATCCATCACTGCAACATCTGCATTTCTGTTAACACAACAAAACATAAATTCTACATATTTGTTTGGACAATGCATAAAATGATTAACATTTAATTTTAACATACCCATTTCTAATAGCTTGCATACAATGCACTTGACTGTAACCTCGAAAACATTGCAATTCAGGAACCAAAAGTTGAACTTTTAACGCCAACTAACAGAAAATTAATAACAAACTTGTAAATAAATGAATAAATATATATTAAATATACCATGTACCTTCATTTTAATACATTTCTCCATTTCTGGCTCAGACGTTACACAAAGTGTCATTTTTGCAACAGGGCAATAACGTACTCCGAGTATAATGTCCATGGCATTTCCTAAATAGCTTGTATATGTTTGGTGCGCTTCTTCTAAGGGCCGTAAACCTCTTGTTGAGTCCTAAAACAATAAAATAGTATCTTTATGGATAGATAAAAATATATAAAACAATATTTTTTATTAATATTTATAATTATTGTTAATAAGTGAAAATATTCAATTTTCTTAAAAAAGTTATATGAATTGATAACTTAGTGTTCAGCTACATCACTGTTTAACGCAGTGAGTTCTTGTCTAAAAATTGTTAATGTAATGGATTTTAAGAAAGCAGTGCAATGGTTTTCTCAACGGCACACATCAATAATTTTATATTTTTAGCCTTTTATAAAATATCAAACTAACCTTAAATAAAGTTATGTTTAATGTTTATTTATATTGAGATAAAATTAAATATAATTCCATAAAATAGTATATTATTTTGTACAAATTGTATAACTTAAGATTTTTAATGTGTTATATTTATTTTAGCTGCTTAAAAAATATGCTTAATATTAAGAATAAAACAAAATAGTCTAATTTTTATTTTTGTGGCTTTTAAAATAATTTTATGAGTTTTATTTATTTGTGTGCTTATATTTCAAGTTTCATTTTTTTTTTATTTCTTTGATAATWTTAAATTACCTGTAACAAAAGATTGTGGTGATTCTCGTACACAGAAGAATCAAATAAATTAAAACTTTTGGCAATATTGTTATTGATTTGAGTTTGAGGTTGATTGAATCCTCCTGCCCAGTTGATGTCAGGAGTAGTAGATGTGAATTGTTGTTGTGCAGATTTTGGTTTTCCATATAATTCAATTACTTTCTAAAGAAATAAAATTAAAATAATGTTGAAATCTATAAATAATATTTGTATTACGTAACTAAGTATAAATTAATAAAAAGCTAAATTTAAGTTATATTTATGGATATTTCTTCAAGTACGAAGGAATTAAATGAGGTTAAGAAATATCATATTTTTGTATTTAACTTTCTTGCTGTTCAATTAATTTTTTTTTTCAATGGTTGAAATTAATATCATGCTAATTATTTTATAGTACAAAATACCTGCAGCCATCTTTGGTATGAAATACGAGCAGAAGAAGATTTAGCAGATGTAGTCATAATAGCATCAGTAGGTACTGGTCCCCAATTGCAGTTTTTAAATTCACTAACTGGACGTCTTGAACCATCMACACACAATAGTTCCAAATCATCTTCTCTGGTTTTACCTGAATTATATAATTGGTAAAAATATTCCATATTATATTTTATAAAGAAGAAAAAAATTTGTTTAAATAACTTCAATTATATAGAGGGTTTAACAGAAAGATATGACAAATGAAACATTAAAACATATAAAAGATATGACAGAATGTCATATTTTCTGTTACACGCTGTATATAAAATGATCAGTTATATTCTATATCTTACTGAATAATGATGGATCATTTAACATTTCTAACACAGTTGTATGTCGTAGAAATGCGATATCACCAGACTCAATTAAACATCTGAATGCTCCTTCATCACCAGCATATGGATCGTTTGATGTACATTTTTGACCAGAAATTTTGCTAGCGCAGAGAATGCATAAACGGTCAGAATTATCACCTGAAAAAAATTTGTTTAAAGTTATTAAATAAGCACTTTTTATATTTGAGTATAAGGTAAAATTAAAATGCTAAAATRTTCAGTAGGTTTTTTACTAAACATTATATTAGCATTCAATTTAATGTAATCTTTTTTTCAATAACCACATCATATTTTTTAGTGACTTCTTAAAATATTAATTTATGACATGCATTTTTTTTATACATATATATATATTTATATAGAACTATAATTTGTGTCAGTAATGAATACAAAAATTAATTACCCATTGGGTTGTACTTGTCAAGTAGTGAATTCACAGCACAACTGGGACCAAAAAATTCTATTGCAGTTTTTACATGGTTATTACAGTCAAAAATGTTCATATAACCTTTAGAAATAAGCTGAAAATAAAAACTCWAATATTATAAGAATATATATCAAACAACTTTGAATAAGGGTTAAACTTRCAGTATTTATTGGTACATTCCATCCAGCTTGTGTACCAACTCCAGCAAAACAAGCTTTTTTGTCCTTCAAATTTCCAAGATTATACACATCCTTTAAAGTGTCCTTTTTTATTAAAGCAACAGAGTAATATTCAGTAGAGCCATCTGACAAAAAAATATAACAATATTTAAATAGGTAAATAAATATCTAAGCACTTGTGATAAGTATAAATTATGTATTTATTAATACCTTCAAACAGTTGTTGCATTAGCGGTATCAAACTATTATATCGGCCACCAACAAATACCTCTCCAGCATCTAAACTCAAAATATCTGCTACGTTGGTATCTAATTTCATCATACAGTCATCTTTATTGAGTCCCTGAAGTGTTTCAATAAAATAAATTAGTAAGTGTATTGCATTATGTATCAACTAAATGTATGTCAACGCAAAAAAATTATAAATTATTCAATTCCAATAATTCAAACAAAATCTCGATCATATTTTTATAATAAAATTAAGTTTGTACGAGAACATTTGGTTTTTAAGTTATTTTAATGAATTTGTAAATATATATGTTATATATATATTTTTAAATAGATTTAGTAATCAAACAATTTTATTACGTTTATATCCAAATAAACTCACATACATTATATTTAAATTTATTAGGAATTAAAAGGATGTGGTAAAAATTGTATTTTACCATCTCAAAATACTATAAATCATTTCTTCTTAAGGATTTGGTTTAACGGAAATATATTTAATTTGTAAATAAAATAATTTTAGCTCAATTACAAGATTATTGAACATGATTATTTCTAATAAAAGCAATTAAATGACTATAATGTTGATAAAATGATCTTAAAATAAATGGACTATTGGGTGTTCATAATCAATAATCATTATAAATTAATTTGTCATTGAATATTAGTTTAAGCACTTTCAAAACATGGACATTAGAACTATAATTTTTTCCATTATATATACAATGGTTACTCCTACAAGAATATTCAAACTTTCTGATATTTTGTTTGCATTTTTTCTTAATTAAAATTTTTTATAGAAATYTATAGAATTAATTATGRTAAATAAAGTTAAAATAGATCTTATGCTCAAGGCAATTTAACTAACCTAGATTTTTGCTATGAAARTCTACCTGATTTAAAATATAATTTTTCTAAATAATTTATTATAATAATTTGTTAATTATCCAGTGTTATAATATTCTATATTTCACCTATCCTGTAATTGTATATCCTACATTAGACCTWRGTTGTTAATTTAAATAGATTATTAAAAAATAAGTAATTTTGTTAAGCAAGAGAAAAAATATGTAGAAAGTAACTCACAATAATATTAAAAGTCAAGTCATATAAATAAATATAATTGAAATAATTATATTTTATTTTGTATTAAAAACAACAATTATTTAGAGTTTCAACTTTTTTCAAAAACATGTTAAATATATTATGTTTGAGTACCTATAATGTATTTTAATTGGACCTTTTACTCAAACACTTCACTAAACTGGTAGCTACCTATARTTAGTCTAAAATAAAATATTTACCGGTTTGCAAACTAGTTCCATGAAATCTCTAGGGTTAAATCTCTGTCTGTCTCTATTGACAGCTGCAGACAAATTCAAACATTTTGATTGTTCTTGGATGTTTAAWGTGCACCAAGTGATACGATTGGTTTTATCGTTTGGTAGATCTGATATGTACCCTATAAATGATTTATAGAATAAACAGTAACATTATTAGATAGGAATCGCTGCTATTAGACTATAATATTTTCTTGTATAGGTACAGTGATTCTCCAAGCATGTTCACCTCCATTTTTTTGCATCTTMATATTTGTTGGATATTTTTAAGTGCATGATAGTAAGAAGTGGCCAAAAGTGTTGAAAACGGTAATTTAATGTTTATGTTTTGCTAGTTATTTGTGACTGCCAAATGCATCGATGGTATGAATTAATATGGTTTTATATTATTATTTTTCTATCGCGCTACAATAATGAACTAAAAAAGCACAGTGGCATAGTGGGAATTGGGATGGAAATTATAACAATTGTTTTGATGTTTATTTTTTTATATTTTTAAATGTTTTTTTTTTTCAGATAAATAGTACTTAGGTAATAAGCATATAACAAATTTGGAATGACAGAAAAAAATGCTTAGCGTATAATACATTTTGTGCAAATGCTGGCGGTCATATGGCAGTCAACTTGTAAATGTGTACATTTTAATATTTAGATTTTTTATACCAACCATCTTTGTTTATTTATTTATTTTTTTTTCAGTAGTTTCATAGAGGTACATCTCTCGATAACTATTCATTTAAATTTAGATTAAGATACATCAACACTTAAGTTTATTTCATCATAGGAAACTCCTYATGAGGCATCTAAGTATTTCAGAATATAACTAATAAGGTGCCAATCTAAAAATTCTAAAAATCCTAATTTGAATAAATATAAGAAAAAAAAATAGTTAGGTATTACATAATTAAAGGAAAATGGAGACTCGCATGCCTGGTGAACCACTATGTTAACTAAAAATGTGTTGATACTTACCATGGACGAATGCGATGTTTGCTAAAACAAAACAAAATGTCAAAAAAACCACGAAATTGTTGGATGTCTTCATTATGTGTTATTGTAGTGGACACGTCTATTTAATGCATGACAATCGAAAAGCACCTATATGAAATCAAATACTTGATTGAACGCTACGACAATTTAAGAAAAGTTCAAGTATATTTTTTGAATAAATTTCATGACMATCATTAATATAAAACGACAACCACTAACAAGTGACAATACTCACTATCTACTGGTCGAATACTGGCGTAGTGGCGTAGAGGCGTCTGGCACACTCCGAAGTAGTGTCGTACTTACATATAAATGATATAAATRTTAAATTTTATACAGAGTAATAGAGATTGGTACTAGAGACAAGACAAATGTAGATTGGACAATTTATTATTGTAATTTGTAGTTAACTTATAATTTGTAAACAAAAAACCGAATGATAACTACTGCCACAAGTGGGTGCAGCAAGACGTCTGCCCCGCCCTGCCATGCCCATTAATTGCTGTCATGGACGAAAAAATTAAAAATCGTGATTGATAACGACAATGCGTTATGCGGTACACATTATTCACGATAACGATAATGTTCATCTCATTGATAATTTATATTATTTAATGTTAATGTAGACTACTGAAGACGASCAGACTCCAATTTATATTACAGTAATACCCATACACATTAACCTATGCCACTGTCTACTGTTTGTCAATCGCAAAATGGAAATGATGTTTTACAAAAATATTTTGTAATAACCTAACAGTTTTACTTAGTTTTCAGCCATTGTACACGAAAGAAATATTTCGTACTTGTAAGTATTTAAATTAACAAAAAATATGTAAAACATGTATCATGTATGCTTTTATAATGAAGGTCACTTACCTTTTAAAACGATCATAATTTTTTCCATTTATTTTTTTGTGTGTCGCAGAACAGTTTTTTAAACGTCGGTCAGAATGTTTGGAACTTGCCACAAGCTACTGAAAGGTAAGTGAATACCTATTGTATTATTTTGATAGTTGACTGACCATTATAAGTGTAAAGAATACTGAAACGTGTTTATTTTTCCTTTAATTGTTTTAGCTATTAAATTATTGTTCATTTTAGTTACCTATTTTCTTTCTTATTTATAAGTTACTTCTCTGGTTACTTGTATTCATGTATTCACATAATATTATGTTATAATGGTTGCTTCTCCTCGCTGTGGTCTGGGACTTGTGATAAGTTAAGTTCAATTATTTTTTTTCCAGCTTAAAATATTCTCAAAATTTTTGAATATAAAGAACCGGATTCATTTTTAAAAATGACTTCGAAGTTCAGACAGAGTTTCAAAGTTGTTGACAAAGCTCTTTTACGATGGTTCCCAGGCCACATGGGGAAAGGTATGAAACAAATGCAGCAAAAATTGAAATCAGTTGACTGTATCATTGAAGTCCATGATGCCCGAATACCACTTTCTGGCCGCAATCCAGATTTTAAATACTCTATTTCAGGACTGAAACCTCACATTTTAGTATTGAACAAGATGGATTTAGCTGATTTAAATTATAAGCAGAAAGTTGAAGAAAAAATTATGAGTCAACAGAAAATATCAAAAATCATTTACACAAACTGTAAAAATTCATTATGTCCAGGTGTAAAAAAAATTATGCCCACTGCATTAAATCTCATAAAAGGATCGAATAGATATAACCGTTCAGAAAGTATTGATTTTCGAATAATGGTTATTGGTGTRCCTAATGTGGGAAAATCGTCTTTGATTAATTCTATTAGAAACACTATTCTTGGCAAAAAAAGTGCTGCTCCTGTTGGGGCAGTTGCGGGTATTACTAGAGCAGTTCAACATCAAATTAAAGTGAGCCATGACCCATTAGTTTATGTTCTTGATACTCCAGGAGTAGTTTCTCCAACAATTAAAAATGTTGAGACTGGATTAAAACTTGCGTTGTGTGCGACTTTACAAGATCATCTTGTTGGAGAAGAGATAATTGCAGACTACTTGTTGTATTGGTTTAATAAGAATAACTATTTTGATTATGTTTCATACTTAAATTGTGATGAACCTACTGATGATATACGAATAGTGCTAGCAAAAGCTGCAATTCATCGCAAGTCTAGTATCAAGTATTTAAATTTTGATGGATCGTATATTTATCGACCTGACATGCAAGGAATGGCAAGAAATTTTCTAAATGCATTTCGTACAGGAGTATTTGGAAAAGTACTTTTAGATAACGATTTATTGTAAAAAAAAAAAAAATTAGTTTTAAAATAAATGAACATTGCTTATTTTTGTAGATAAAAAATTGTTGTTGTATTTAAATGAAAACTATATTTTTAAGTTTCAATTAAAAATATGTCATTTCTTAATATTATGTAGGTGTCAATAATTTTATAAATTACCTATATTCATTTTTCATCTGATAACTTTATTCTTTTTCTGTATTGAAATTGTGTTTATAAGATTCAACTAGAAACATTGTTTTGGTTGCTTTCCCAACTCAAGTCTAGAAATAAATCCAAGTATTCAACCTTCAATCCATTAATGCAAACTAAAATTATTACATCACTGTTTCCTACTGTTTGTTTAAATAAATAAAAATTAACAGTTTTTTTTATTTATCTTGTTATGTATGAAAATGTATTTAAATTTTCTTTATGTGTATACAATATTGTCTAAGGATTTAATAGTAGTCTAATTTTCTAATTTTACTGAAAAAAAAAATCAAATATTAAATTTTATACCTACAGTGGCGGTGTAAACTTTTTTTTCCTATGAAGGAACGACCTTAAATAAGTACGCACCTGGCCACCCACCAATTTTTTCACACTTTATACTTTACTTTTCACTCATTTTAAATGCAGGCCATATGTCACTGTATAAATTATAAGCTAGTGTAACTGTCTAGGTTTTGAAGACTGCAAGAGTTATTGGGATATCAATTCCCAATTTTTCATGAGGCGGCCACTTCATAAAATAGTTATTCACACCGCTACTGTATACCTTACACATTTATGAAAACTCCATTTTGATATTGAGAATACATTTGAAAATGTATTTCCTCCAATTTCTAAAATGATAAAAATGATGTTTGTTTCGAAAAATGACTTAACAATATTTTTTAAACAACATGAAACAACGAGTGTTTTCTCTAACACATGAAAGAACAATAGATATTAAAACATTACTGGATCGGTCACTTAACATTATCATAATAATAGTCAAGAGTAAATAAAGTAAGCTGGTTTATAATATATTTTTTGAAGTAAAATGCTTTAGAAATAACATTTTATTTCTTTTGATTATAAGTATCCAAATTCAATCTATAGGATGATAAACAATAATTTATTTATAAAATTAAAAATACTTTGAAATGTATTAAAATTGAAAATTCGGAAACATGTTATAATATTATAAAATATTAAAGCTACCTACATAATTATTTAAGCGTATGAGCTGTATACAATACACACTTGGGTACTACTGCCATCTATCTAAGCATAATTTAAAAGTAATTAGGTTATTCCGTGCACATATCCTAAGGTACCAAAACAAAAATTTTACAATTACTGTTATTAATAGTGTTATATTTTGTAACAACTGCCTAGATATAGTAATGGTTTTATGTCACTAATTTGCATATTTGTGTTTACTCTTATATTTTTAAATACCTACCTACATTATTATTCTAGAGGCATTTTAATTTAATTTGCTAAAAAATGTCTTTAATTCATTCAAAGTTGTATATTGATATTTTAATTTTTTATTACTCCTTTGTTTTTATTTTATTCTGTAGATAACTTATTTCTTAAAAGAATATAAATAATAGTAGATAGAAAACATAATAATTCTTAAAATGTTGTTATATTTTATCTAAATTAAAAAAAAAACAATTCTCGTCTAAATTTTACTTATATAACTTAATACTTACGAAATACAATATTATTGTTATGTTTATTTATAAGTTTTTACCATAGATTGTTTGAAATAGATACTTCAATCTTTTCTTATAGTCATGTAGGTACCTACTTACGATTATGTTATGCATGCCAAACTTATTAAATAATGATACATTTTTTTTTTTAACCTATTGTTAAGGTATTTTTTATATCATGGTATGCTGTGCATTTGTCAAAAATATAATTGTATAATATTATTGTTTTATAATTTGTCATAGTTCATTTTATCCTTATTTTAAACATCACCTGTCTTGTGATTTTAACATTTTATTGTTAATCAATAGATAATATTGTCACTGTACGTCTATTTGTTCAGGAATAAGTATTGGCGTAAACGCGAGGTATATGGGTAGGTTCCGAACAAACAGATTTAACCCATGGACCAATTTGCAAAAAACCATTGGCCAAAAAAAGCCGGAAGCAGTAGATGCAGACGTGTCGGCGTTTAAAAGCAAGGTAGGTACTTATAGTGCTCATATTATAGACCATATTAATTATCGTCTACAATAAGGTACCTATATAATATTATATACTTTTGCRCTGCACTCGTTAGAATTGATTTTTATTTTCATTACACGCATATAGTACCATAATGTTCTGTTCTATTCGCTGTGTATTGCTATAATTTCGTTATATTGTGTGTTTTCAAGCATTTGGTTAACATACCGAACCCCTACGAAAAGGAAAAACGGTCGTGCATYCTCTGCAAAATGAACATTATCCCGGACTACAAGAACACCAGGATGTTATCGCAGTTTATATCCCGTTTTACTGGTCGCATTTACGGTAGACACATTACAGGTCTTTGCCGGCACAAACAGGAGCACGTTGAAAAAGAAATTAAAAAATCCAGGGAAGCGGGTTAGTAWCTATTTACCTACTTTATGGATTCTGCATCATCTGTGTTATTCCACGCGTTCGTTTCGTTGTAAATAATTATAGGTACACGTGTTATTTATTTTTGTTGTTTTATTTCCCTCGTGCAGTTTTAACACTATTACACATTTACGCCCAATTTCCGGTCGTATAGAAGACGAGACGAATGTAATAATCGTTATTGTACTTACAACGCGTTATAGGTACTTACCTACTCGTGTTTGGCATAGGTTCATTMTTTATTTCCAATTTTTAACCGATGTCAAGACATGTTGGTGAACTATCATTAGCTTCCTGCTAACATACTTGTTCCGTATGGCTCCTGATAAATTATTCACAYAATTAGTTATATAATTTATGCACAAAATTTTACCTTTGATTTGAGMAAAGACATCATATCAACTTTACCTATTTTTTAACGTGATTTTGACAGCTTATTATTTTTGTTTCAGGTTTGATGCCTTTTTATTTCAGGAATCCAGAATTTAGCCATGATCCTAAACTGTTCGACCCTGACAATCCGTTTAGACCTCATAGTTATTAGTGTTATAAAATCATATAAAAATTAATGTTTATTCAAAATCAATTGTTCAGTTCAATAATAATAAAATGTAGATGTGTGTTTTATATGAAAGTATACATGTATGTGCATTGTGMATTAGTTTCTATAAATTAAACTGGTATGTCCTTTTTCACACGAAATGAGTAGATTTATATTTCCAACGAAGTTAAGGCTTTGAACGGAGTRTGCCGTTGAAGACAGACTGGGCTGCTGAGGGCAGATTGTTCGTAGTAGGTATTGAAATTAGGTTCAATTTTCTATTTATATTATTGAATTGACATTTCATACTTGTTCGATTTCAAATCGTTCTTGTTACGAAAAATTACATAGGTAAAAAATGTGTTTTATTATGTATTATTAATGTGAATTTTGTCAAATGAATAACAATTTATATTTTTTGTTCACAATAAGGTACATTGGTACAGTTATTTTATCAGGCTTAACTTGTTTAAGAGTACCTAGCAAACATAATATGTTATCATTAGGATATTAAGGTATCGTATATTAAGTCTTTATCTTTATAATTTATAAATTATTTTGAAATGTTAAGCAGTAAATTAAGTAATGAATAGCGTATTTGCGTTCTTAATATTAAATAATGTTAGGCATTTATCAGAAAATATTATGAGAAAAAAATCCCGTCATAAGGCATCTCCTACAACTCTTTAACTTCCGTTTAATATACGCACGAAATTAATTATGTTGGCGTTAATACATTCGTTTTTATATTATTATATTATTATTTATTGCCTACATCATTATATTAGCATAATAGTAATTTCTTAATAATTCAAAACTAAGTGGTATACCTATTTACTATTCATAAATTCATACTTATTGATAGGTACTTGTAACTAACACCTTCTAGCTGGGAATTTATTGAATTATTCTGATATTAACTTTTTCACTTAAATTGTTGGTAGATATTTAACCTGGAAAGGATTAAAATTGTAGCRGAACATTTCGTATGCACCACTTTTCRCTTAATAATCGATTAACAGGGAAATATGAAGGTATAATATTAGGTATATTATACAACTTGGTGTGACTGCTTATTACAGGTAATAATACAAAAAATTATAATGACATCATTCATTTCTAAAAATAATTATTATATTATACCATCATAACATATATCACTATAATAGGTAGGCAGGCACCTTCCAACCTATATTATCGAAATCAAAAATTGATTTTTCTCCGGGAATATGACCAACCGCGAATGGCGTGACAGATTATTTTAAATTGAAGATCGGATTACACGGGTAGTTTCATCCCGGATGAAACTATAATGTGGTCGTGGATCTTGACCTCGTATGGACTTGGCCGGCTGCAGAGGTGATAACAATAAAGGCGAAATGAATGGGATTACCGCTCATACAGTAAACGAATATGATAGGCTACTTCTTATATTACACGAGAAATTCTCACTCTTACCATGCAGAATCCAGCTGATAAAATTGCACATATACATATATATTTAGCCATTTAGGGCCATTCAGGGTGATTCACTAACCATGCTCACCCCTTTTTTCTTCAATAATAAAGTTATTCAACATTTGATTTTTGGCATTTTTAAATATAAGTAGGTAGGTACTTAAAGACCATATTTTCAAAATCTCAAGATTTTTTGTAAAAGTGTTCTGTGGAGGTACAAACTTCTGTTTTTTTTTTCAAATGAGAACCTTCTTTTTCAATTGAAATTATTCGGAGGATAATTTTTCTCAAAAATTTGACGTACCAGAATCAAGATTCCTGATARTAATTTTTGAGTTCTTTAACTTAGTGTTCTTAGGATATAATATTCATGATAAAACGGGTTTACTATACGATTTGTTGGGTACTATGCGGTGATTTGAATATTTTTAGCATCAATATATTTAATCTATGTATATCAACATTACTAATTTATAAAAATGGCCCAAGTACAGTAAATACTATATAGTTCCAATTTTACGTTTATTTTATATTTTAACTATTTTTAAGTACCTACTATTATTCTTAATACATTAATAACTAATACATTTTAATAACTAAGAAACTAGGTAGGTACTCATTCGATTTTCATTTAGTACCTACATCAAATTTTTCAAAAAAATTATCCGCTTAATGATTTACAGTAAAAAAGCGGAATTCTCAGTTGAAGAACAAAAGTTTGTTGAAAGTCGGCCACSAGAGTACAGGACGCTCCTTAAGCAATACAAAAATCAGTATTCGGATGGATTCATTATTAAAGGAAAAAATCGGGKTGAACGTGAATGCTCGATTGGTGAATCATCCTGCAATGTACGGTTAGATTCTATGACGTGCTATATAATGACGTATAACTTCACTGAAATTCAAATTGGCCGTATACACCCACATCACTCAYATAATACGCTTTTAATAATTTAAGACCTATATAGGACCTTTCTACCTATATAAGTACCTACCAATACACATTATATATTAAAACACATATGCGCATCACCCACCGAATAGAAATGCGCGGTATAATATATTGTAGTATAGGTATTGAATCACGTTGTGTACTCCCATCACGTTTGTGGAATTGGGAGACAAACAATATAAAACGCATTTTAAARTTTTTTTTAATAAACTTGAACAGTTTTTTACGCGGATTGTACCTACTCGAAATTATTGTCGGTGTTGGGAAAAAAAACTTGAAGCCGCTTCGTACGAATGGCATATAATATAGGCTAACCTACCTCTCACCTATCCTAGTAACTATGTTGAGACGCAATCGGGTCGACGGTTAACAACATATTATTATTCTGACGAGTGGCCCACCGGAAACCAACAAATTACGGTATCTACCCGCTGACAAGAAAACGAACGGCTRACTGATATTTATATGACATTGGTGGCCATTTAATAAATAAAAGCAATGTAAAGGCGTTGGCATATGAATRGGTAGGTACATCAAAACCAGCAACAGGAGTAGGTTAGGTAGGTGATGCCTATACCTAAATGACAATACAAGAATGTGGTAATATTGATGACACAGCCTTTGGCAAGCAATTTATTGAAAAAGCAGAACCTGTGCCATGGGAAGTACTACAGACAGCGGTGGTGGTACACAAGGACTTCAATAAATTACTATTTCCACAACGAATCCTAGTCCCTTTAATATAAAGACTATTCATCATTTTGATGTTCGGGTCATGCTCGGCCGAATCACTATACGTCACGCTGACGAAGTGGCTTTTCTTTATTCTATACCCTGTACATTTTTAATTAAAATTCTTAAGAGAACAACATTGAGAATACTTAATATCTAGTAACTCTATCTTTCTTTCGTGTGATTGATCGAATATTATTGTTTTTTTTTTTTTTTTTCTTTTTTTATGAACGTCAGTTATTTAACATTTCTTTACATCCCGAGAACTTGTTAAAACTTAAAATTCCTTTGTTCTTTATTTGTATTAGTTTTTTTTTTTTCATTTTACCATAAAAATTATCCAATATACTTCCACATTCATCTTCTACCCCTGCCATCGCTAAAGTACGATTTACGGTTTTGTATTTTTCAATATATTTTCTGATTAATAAACTGTCCCAATGACACTGTAAATTACTCAGACTTYATACTAACGTAAATTACTTTAAGTGAGTTGATTTTTTTACGTAAAAAATTACCCCCGAAACGAAATTTATTATTTTTCAATTTTAAACTATATTATAATATGTGTATTGTATATTGTTTGATTTATATTACTACGCAGTCATCTGCTATCTACATAATATTATACATGCAATTCATTATATTTTATCTACTGCTATAATTTCCTGATAATATAATAATGCGTGGTTAGTGAAATATGAAATGGACAAATATTATTCTTAATCCAGATTCTTTAGTATTTTGGTGGTTAATTAAGTAAAAATACAACATTTTTTTTTCATCAAACTAAAAATATTAAAGTTGTTTTTTAATCATGTTTGAATAATAATTTTTTAAAACAAATAAAATATCCTCTAAAATTAATTATTCATACATAGTTACATAATTTGAATACATTTTTCCTGACTAAATATTTGTTAAGTATATTTTCATCAAAGTATAAATAATTAGCCGTTATMTAACTAGGTATTTTACATTTTGAAATCGACTGTCTAGATTAAAACTTACATAGGTAGTAATAAAGTTGTTCTCCTTTTTTACAACTAGTTTTATAAATACGATACAATTTAACATATATATAAAATATAATAGGTAACATAAAGTTTTTTGTTTTTTAACAAGTAATATTTATTAGCAGCTACATAGCATAAAGAATAGGTTGTATGAAAAAAGATTTAAAAAAAAAACATTAATTGCTTTGTTGAGTTCGCTACTGTTTTGGTAGATCAAAAGGGYGAGTGTGCTGCAATATTATTAAATCTGAAAGCAATTGTTTTTTTTCTTTTTGAAATGAGAATTACTATTTTAGCAGTTTTCACCAATTGTACGATAAAAACATAAATGTGCAATCTGAAAACTATTTTATTGATAATTAAGCATTTAAACATCATAGAATCGAAAAATAATTTTTTAATTTCAAATTTTTCTATACAAATGTATTTTTTTATTTTTTTTATCTTGAAATTTACATAAATACATTTTTCCGCTTTGACAACACGGGCCACTAGCGTTATATTTTTAGTAAAATACAATTATATAATAGTAAATATGATATATAATTTAAATAGTTTAACAATATTTTAGTTGCGACTTACAAGTAAGTTTTTTATTTTTATTGTTTTGAAAAATTCTATTGTGTAATTTCGATAAAAATATATAATATTTAATATATTTTTACATTAAATTTRCATGTAGACTTACATAATATTTTTTWAAATTAAGTTTTCTTATAAATTATTGTATACTATTACTATATACTATTAACACTAATTAAGTTCCACTTTTGTTCATTATTGATTCTCTGTAAACTACATAGTCAAAAATGATTTTATTTTTGCTATTTCGATAGAAAATAATATTATTTTGGACCAAGATTTTGACAGTACCTACTAACGTTTACCTAAAACACTGATATTTTTTAAATAACGAAATTTGGGAAATGTCYGGTCTTTTAATTAATTATTTATTAAATAGAAAAATTATTAGTCTGCCCTTCGAATTTAGAGCATAGCGAGC